GAAACCAAGTTATAATCTACATTATCAGTCTTCCACATAAAACACATAACAGTTCTTAACTTACTTTGCCAATATATTTTACATAGCAGCCTCTGTTATTAACTCACTACTCCCTTCCAGCACTTATTAAATACTTGTTCATTAATAGATTGCAATGGTCTTCCATCCCCCAGAGAAGAAAGAGAGCATTAATATTTATTGAACATCAGCTAGATGCCAAATTCATTTCACTAGTTTTCCATACTGAGGGCTGTGCAAGTTGTCTTCTAAAGACTTGGAAACAAGAAAATTAAGATCACCATATGAAGGCTAAACTACAAAGTCAGCACATGGTGGAGGAAATTAGCCAGCCCTAAAAGAAGTTGCCTGAAATAACAGAATGGAAATGACTCAAGAGGTTATTCCAATCTGGAGGTAGCTAGCAAAGTCTGGGCTACATGAGCATGATAAGGTTGAGTTATAGACAACGGTATTAACAAAACGAAGAGAGGGAAAAAGAACCAACTTAAATTAATTAGAATAGAACACCCATGAGAAGGAAGCAGATAAAGCTTTGGCTGATATGTTCCAGCACTGCCTGGAGGAGAGGGTATCTTGGTCAACAGAAGTTGAGTAGGACACACTTAATTTGCCAAGGTCATCCTTATTTTGTAATATCCAGAAGCTATCTTAGAGAACTTCATCAAGATCATTACATTTCTATAGTTTGACTTTCCACTCATCTAAGTAGACTTTCGATTATGACTTAGCTTCCTGAGGAGAATGATGGCAGAGAGGACATGCACTCATCATGAAGATTTCAAATAATCTCATTCCTGGGATACATTGTTTTTCATTATTAAAAATTTTACATGTACATCTACCCCTTCAGTTCTAGATAGATTGTCTCAATCCTCTGTTCAATGCCTTGTGGAAAAGTTTAATATCTTCCTAATCTTTCTGAGCATTCTCCACGGTGAGGCAAAGGGTGGCCACTTATATTCTTGGGGTCATTTTTAGCTCAAATTTGCTATCTTTGCTCACTTGAGGTCTTGTGGCTATTCCTTTACCTTTTCTCTGATATTGATCCAGGAAACTCAATCTCTCTCCTTCATAACCACAAAACTGTACAATATACAAAAGGCAAGGGTAGGCATGGAAACTTTCCCTGCAGTTTTAAGATAATGGCACTTTAGGTCAGTACAAATAACTTTGAGATGAACCTTAGATATCCTTGCCTTCTTCCACTATCGTAGTCATTTCTCTCTCTTCCATCCTTCTCCTCCATTCTCTACTTCTTCCCTCTCAGAACTACCTACATACCTAACTGGACAGACAGACACACACACACACATTTTCATTTTCTTTTGAAGAGATCTCAGTTTTCCCCACTACCTACCCACAATTCAGTTAAAGTTTGAAGTAATTAAATGGTGATCTAATACATTTTTAGATAAATTTCTATGCAACTTCCCAATCCAGTTTCAAGATAGGGTTCAAGTTCAGATTTCCAGTTACAGTAGTATTCTGTTATCTACCTCCATCTTCTGTGCATTTTGGTTAGTTTCTCTGAAATTGATCACCTCTGGGACTGTCATGACTAGGTCACTGGGCTTTCAGAGCAGGGACCTAGGCCTAAGAGTTTAGATCCTACTCAGCTTCAGATGGACTGTCTCCCAGTCAGGGGACAGGCTTTCTTCTTTCTGTTATAGTTCCCTATATTTATATCTTTAGTCATCTCTAAGATTCTAGTTTCCAAGGTAAGTAGCATAGATAATGTCTTTTAATGATTATGACTACTCTAGGCATTAAAATTATTACTATTCTTATTTTATAATTGAAATAAATGAGGTTTAGTGAAGTTTAAGGTATTTACACAAAGTTACACAGCACATAAGAGAGCTGGAATTTATCTTCAGGTTCCACTTCATCCCCTTGCTCTTTTTACACCACCAGTGAAGCTTATATTTTACCTAGAGTCCATTTATATGTCTAGCTAGTGCAAATAGTCCTTAAATTAAATACAAACCCTCTTTCAAGAAATCTTTTCCATGGCTCTTCTAAGATATTATTCTAATGTGGGATTTTTAAAATTTTTGTTCCTGAGGAGTTCAGACTCATCCTTTGTCAAAAGACTAACAAAACTGCCTCCTCTCATCTATGTCCTTTCCAGGACATGTAATGCAACTACACAGAGCCCAATTGTCCCATTTTCCCAAACTGGGCATGAGGTCAGGTATGTGTGGTTATTTGTAGTGAATGTGTCATAAACTGGAACATAATAGTTATGTGCACACATATACAGCTCAGCCCCAAGAGATCTGCTGCAGCTGAACTTAAGCTTTCAAGAACAGGTGGAGAAAACTGAGCTCAAACTAGAAGTTATGATGCACAAAAGGTTTTTGGCTGCATTTATTTAGTATGCTTCAAATTGCTATATTCAATCATATCTATGGATCTGGTTCCAAGTGCAAACTATCTTGAGAAATATCCAGGCTACATTTGGGGAGTAGCAATAATTGCACATATTTAGGTATATGGTCAGTGTACACTGCACCTTCAGAGGGTCAGTTTGGCTCACAGTCTGAGGTCAATAAATATTTGAAGAATGAGACTTCGGTTGGAAATCTGGAGGATGACTTACTCTTGTAGGAAAAGGAGAAAATGGATGTTCTATCCCCATTCTATGGAATTAGAGATGCTATAAATAAAGATCTAACTAGAACGAGTCTCCATGAAGCTTTCACTTACTGCACCTTCCCTCTACAAGTCATGATATTCCCTTCCTGAAGTTGAGTCTTAAAGAAGAAGCCTGAGTTATTGCATAGCATGAGTAGAAGCAAGTGGAGCATGAAAAGCAGATTAGACAGCAAAGTCAGAGACATGCGGTTATAGGAAGAGATGCCTCCATTGAAGATCAGTGAAGAATTTAGTAGGAAAAAGGAGTGTATTAATAACAAAGCAGAGCGGCAGAGTAAGAAGAGGTAAGATTGGAAACGTAGGCAAGGATCAGACCATGGAGGCCTTGAATGTTATGGTAAAATCCTGAGCCTTATCCTGTGGGTAACATCTATTAGTGAACTAGGCAGAGTTCCCTTTCAAAGAATTTTCTTTCAAATCAGAGAGGTGGAATAAACAAACAATCAGCAAAGATCAGATAGGGATATAAAAATAAAATAGGTCGATGTTGAAAGAACACGATTGTTGGAGCCAGAGAGGCCTCACTTAGATCCCAGTTCTACCACCTGTCAACAGTGTGAACTCAGACAAACTATCAGTTTTTTTTCTGATAACAGCAACAATAACAATTCCAGTGCTGTTTCTGGGAAATAGGGGATGCTAAAGTCATTGTCCATTGCTTGTCATGTAGTAGTTACCCAAAATGGCATCCACTGAAGGATCTGGATAGTGAAACCAAGGATGAGAACTACATGTGGGTAGACTGTGCAATTGTATTTTTTGGGACAGCAACATCAATAATAATACTAGCTAAAATATACCGAACACTTCGTACATAGAGAAACTAGTCTACGCACACTTTCCATGCATCAATAGTCCTTTAAAGTACACATTCCTATCATCCTCCTTTTGCAGATGAGAACACTGCAGCACAGAGTTGTTAAGTGACTTGGCCAGAATCATGTGCCCAGCAAGTACAGAGCCAGGATTCCAGGCATTCTGCCCCCATACTTACACTCCTAATCACAGCCTAGTAAGCAGTGGAGCCAGGCTAGGAAATCACATCTCCTCAACTCCAATCCAGAGCTCCAATCCTCTTGCTTAGGATTGGAGGATAGCTGGGCACTGTGTCCTCAGTCAAAGGGGTAAGAGTCTTTGGTTTCTAGCCTATAGTGGCTTCTAATTCCCACCATCAAAAACATTCATTTTGGACACTTGAGATTTCTAAGGTACTGTCTCCACTTATAATCACAAAAAAGTGGTAAGATAGCATTAGTTATTCATAATAGTACTATCATTTATTACATTTGAGTGGCTCTGTGTGGTTCACAAAGCTTTTTTGTAAGTATTTTCATGTAACCCTTATTGTTGCCTGCACTGACTTTAAACTTTTAAACTGGGTTGGATCTTCCAGAAACGTACTTCTACAGACAAACATCCATTGTAAGCAAATAGCCAATGCTACTTAATAGCTATAGTTCCACACAATCAGCTAGGTTCATCCTTCTCCTTCCCACTGCATCACCTTCTCTTTGGTTTGATTTCACCTCGTTAGAGCTGCTTCTATCTCCATCTCCATCCCCTCCCCAAATACTTTTTTCCTGACTCTGTGCTTGGCATTTAGACCTACACTCTTCTCCCTGGGTTCTCATTTAATCCATACTTTGAAGCTCACATATCACAAAAATAAAGTGTCTGATCCAGGCATCCTCTTCTCCAAAGCTGATGACCAGTGACCAGTCGGAGGCTTCAATGACCAGCTTGTGAAGTAAGGATTTATGGATTTCTCAGGTGAAGAAACAGGCTCAGAGAGTTCACGTAACTTGCTTGCAGTTGTAGCAGAACTTTTAGGTTGTCCCTCAAAATCCATTTTTCTGGTATTCTTTTATTTATTTATTTTTTTGAGGAAGATTAGCCCTGAGCTAACATCTGCTGTCAATCCTCCTCTTTTTGCTGAGGAAGACTGGCCCCGAGCTACATCCGTGCCCATCGTCCTCTACTTTATATGTGGGATGCCTACCACAGCATGGCTTGCCAAGCACTGCCATGTCCCCACCCGGGATCCGAACTGGGGAACCCTGGGCTGCCGAAGCAGAACATGTGCATTTAACCAGTTGAGCCACTGGGCGGGCCCCTCTGGTATTCTTTATTGATATAACTTCTGATTTGTAACTAGGCTCATGGCCTGAAATAATACTGTATCGCTCAGCCTCCCTTGCTGTTGTGGTCACATGACAAAGTTCCAATCAATGGGATGTAAGCGAAAGGTGGATACGGCAGCATGAAAGACAGCTGTTCTGTACCATCTGCTCCCTTTCAACTTCATCTTTTTTTCCTTTCAGATGGATGAAGTCCAAGTAGCTTTCTTAAGACAAGCGGTGGAAGCCACATGGTGAGGATGGTGGAGCAATGAAACATAAGATGTCACCTTACTAGTCTTGGACTGCTTACTTCTGGATTCTGCTATATGAGAGACAAATAGACCTCTATATTGTCTGAGCTCTGTTATTTCAGATTTTTTGTCTTTCAGAGTTGACATAAATCTTAACTGATGTAAGATCACACAGCTAGTTACTAGTACAGCTGAGCTTTAAGCTCAGTTCTTTTGACTCCAAATTCAGTTGTTTTTATTTTGCTTCGTCGCAACTGGCATCTTCACTTGCCTTACTTACAGAGCTTCTGTGAAAATGAAATGAGGAAACAGGTAAGAGAGCACTTTGTAAACTGTGAGGCCTCATTTATATGTGAGCAGAAGCAGAATTTTGCATTTGTGGAGAGCTGTGGAAAAATACTTAATGCCTTAGCTTGCTTGTTGGTTGAACAGGTAGGGGGGAAAAAAAACAAAAAGCCATGTTGTGCTAGAGACCTGGATTCCACATGCACCGGAAACTCCTTTGGCTAATTCTTAGGCCAAAAGATGCCTTTCAAGTGGGGAAGGATGAGTTAGTCCTGAGCGTCCAGGACCTCTCTGACTAGCTGTGGTTTAATGCTGCCCAAACTTTTGTGTAAACACACCTACAGCCTAAGTAAAATAGGAAGGATTGGGGATCTGAATTGCCCTACTTGGGATATTCTCTGTGTCCAACAACTCCTCATGAAGGAAATTGTATTAGTAATAAGTCAAATTCCTAGTGCTGGAATTTGAGTTGCTTCAGGAGTGAGTGCAAGGTTTTCAGAGGCTTGTTTGCTTTATGAAGAGTATTGGGGTCAGTCTTTGCTGGCCAGAGGTCTCTAACCAGAGACAGGTTTTCACACAGGGCTTTTCATATTTTCTGTCTTGAGCCAGACTCAAATACCGAGAAGTCTCTTGGGGGTATTTTTGCAAGTTCACTCTTTTTCTTTCACAACTGGCAAAGGCAACAAAAGCCAATGCTTAGAAGGTATGCATATGCTCTGAACACTTTGTTCAGACTCCTTTGAAAGTTATTGGGTTGCATCCCGAAGCAAACATTTGGAACATTCTGGAGTTGTTTTGAGTCCTCATCGCATGATTCAAGTCTGATAATACCCCACTATGAAAATATAGGGCAAAATATAGTCACAGCTCAAGAGGCAAGTCAAGGAATTACAGTCGCTGTTAGGAGTAGGGTGAGGAAATCATAATCATAATAATATCTGACACTCAATGAGCATATTTATGCAGCAGACACTATACTAGCCCTTTACATATGTTGTTTTACTTGATCCTCCTAACAGTTCTATGTGCCAGAATGATTAAAAATATTTAACAGCAAGTAGAACACAGCATTGGTAGGTGAGAACAGATGTTGCGTTTCTGCTGGGTCTGGGTCCTGGAAGTTCCTTGTCTGCCCAGGTATTAACCCTTTAGTTTCTGGATTGTGGGGAAGGGTTACAGGGAAAGGATTAGAAGGGGAAGGACTTACCTCTCCAATCATATCCTTTCCTCCCCCTCTGCCTTCTCCCCCTCTCCCTTCTCTTCTCTTTCCTCACCTCTCCCTTCCTTTTGATCCAGCGTTCTGGAGAGTGACAGAGTGAGTCTTCCACAAAAGGATTATACCAGCAGGGCCTTACAGTTATGATTCTGAAATAAAGAATATGAAACTGAATTAAAACAAATTGGATTCACAGAATAAGGAACAGAGAAAAGAAAGATTGTCAACGATTGTTTAGGTCAGCATTTCTCAAACTTTTTGAGCTTAGGATCTCTTTTAGTATTAAAAATATTGAGGACCCCAAAGAGATGTTATTTACTTATGTTTACTTATATTGATTTATTATATCTATAAACTGAAAAAATTCTAAAATGTTTACTAATTCATTTAAAATAATAATAAATTATGAAATGCTAACATACATACTTTTATGAAAAATCACTATATTCAAAACCAAAATCTCTTTAGTTGGAAGAGTGTCATTGTTTTACATTTTTGCAAACCTTTTCAATGTTTGGTTTAATAGAAGAAGTTTCCTCTCTTATCTATTTCTGTATTCACACATTGCAATACGTTGTTTTGTTTGAAATATTTGTAGAAAATCCAGCTTCACACAGGTATATGGTTGAAAAAAGAAAAAGCATTGTAATTAGCTTTTCAAATAATTCTGGTTATTCTTCTTTGCTACTACAATAAGACTTGCCAGCTGGTATTTTATAAAAGTCAGCTGCAATGTGTAATATGAAACCATATTGATAAACTTTTGGTTTTCTGTTACACTAAAATCCTTTGGTTTATCTTGACTTTTGAATGTATCTTTTACCCATGTATGATTCTGTAACATTGTGTAATGATCATTTGAAAAAATAGTGGGTTATCGAATTATTCAGATCTCCCAAATTAATTTAAGATTTATGTTTGTTAACATCATCACCAATCTAAGTATTGGGAACGTGTCAGTCTCTGGTTGGAGGACCCAAGGTCTTCAAAATTCTAATTTTCACTTTTAAGCTTAAATTTTATCATTGGCGATAAATGCTGCCATTTGTTTTCCTTGAATAGACAGCCTCACTTTCAAGAAAATGTTTTTCAAATAACCAAATTTGAATAAACATAGTTTGTCAATCATTCTTTCAAATAGAAATGATATTTCATGAAAAAAAAGTAGTTCAGTTTGTAATTCAAACAGCTGCACCAGTGTTTGTCCTGGAGACAACCATCAGACTTAGTTCTGCAGCAGAAATGCTTGAGACTTCCTGTTTCACCACACAAAATATTAAAATGTGACTTGTAATCAAGAGATGAGATTTAATAAAATTAATAACTTTTAGTGCTTTATTAAGATCATTCTTAAGTGAAACTAGTTTTTTTCTGCACTTTAAAAAATTTCCTGCAGGGGACTGGCCTGATGGCATAGTGGTTAAGTTTGCATGCTCTGCTTCAGTGGCTTGGGTTCAGCAGGCCCAGATCCCAGGCATGGACCTAGCACCATTCGTCAAGCCACACTGTGGTGGCATTCCACATAAAAAAGAGGAAGATTGGCACAGATGTTAGCTCAGTGACAATCTTCCTCAAGCAAAGAGAGGAAGACTGGCAACAGATATTAGCTCTGGGCCAATCTTCCTCACACAAAAAAAATTTCCTGCAAATGTATAATGGTGAAAAATAGCTAAAGTTCAATTCTGCAGTTGAGGTGTTAACTCAATCGTCTTTACTTTGACAAGTTACTGAGTCATCGGAAAGTGGCAGAGCTGCAATTTCTTTTTCTGACTTTTCATTCAGTAGGCACTCAGTGATGTCAGCTCTACAAAGCTTTTATTAAGCAGTTATTGAGTGGCTTCTTTAGTCAATGCAATACAAATTATCCTATAAGGTGCTTCAATGACTTTTTGATTTTCGTTTGAAATGCCATAACAAACAATTGTTGTCTTGAAGGGCTCCTTGTGCCTTCATTTAAAATATTCAGTTTCTTTTAATTAAACTCTGAATGTTTGATTTCAGAATGACATCTCAATTTAACTGGCACCATAATACTATTAAAGAATGCTGTGTTGCATAAGACATAATCAAGTAACTTTTTGTTGTCTCATTTTTTTATTTATAGTCTCTCCATATTTTCCTCATATTACGGTTTTCTCCAGATTCTTTGTTGCAGACTCTTCTCTAGCATGAGTCAAAGAACTCTCAGAAATATATTTCACTTTTTTCGGCATATTTAGAGTAGATGGTGTAGCTCTGGGTTGAGAGAGCAAGTCTTCTAATCTCTCTTTTTAAGCCAATGATCTATCCTAAAATACAAGTGTAAGTAAGTACAACAAAGTATACTTATTTCTCGTGTTTTTATGTAAGTTCAAGACAAATTTTGGAATTTCAAACAAATGATTTTTGGACAAAAATGGATTATGGAGATTATAGCATGCAAGATCCAAAGAAAGCTAGTGAGAGCACAGTTGAAGTACTAAGAATAAGCCTGAGTTAATCTTGGAAAATGCACACATTTATTCACTAGAACTATAACATTAGAAAACTCTAGAAAAAACATGATGATACACAAACACACATTCTATCATCCATCAGAGTGATATCATCACATATTAAATAATCTGGAAAAGTACACTGTACAGTCATGAAAAAAGAAGAGTAAAAAAGGCAAATAAACTCAATATTATTATGAAAATAGTTTTTACCTTACCTGTCCCTTGAAAGGGTCTTGTAGACTGTGGGGCTACACTTTGAGAATTGCTGGCTACGAGCATTTAAGGCTGAAGTATTTTTTATAGACTGGAAGAAGCATGATGTATAAATACATTAGTGCTTTGAGTTGAATTGTATCTCCCCAAAAGATATATTGAAGTCCTAACCCATATTGCCACAGAATGTAACCTTATATGGGAATAGAGTCGTTGCAGATGTAATTAGTGAAGAGAGATCATAACGGAGTAGGGTGGGCCCTTCATCCTACATGATTGCCGTTCTTCTAAGAAGAGAAGAGAGCCACACAAGGACATGTAATGACAGAGACAGAGATTGGAGTGCTTTAGCTGTGAGACAACGAATACCAAGGATTGCTGATTATCACCAGAATCTAGAAGAAAGGCGTAGAATGCATTGTGTCGTTTTAAGCCACCGAGTTTGTGGTACTTTGTCAGAGCAACCCTAGGAAACTAATACAACTAGTTTGTTCTAAAGAGCCATAGGTAGACATTACATAGACAATTTCTATTGTAAATCCAGGAAATGTGGTCCTCCTATAATTCAAAAACTTTCTGCTAAAAAACCAACAACCAAACCAAACCAAGAAAAAAAACAAACCTAACCCTTTCTGTCTTGTTACAATTGATGGCATTTAGAAATCTGAAAGTTTATTCCCATCAATCAAGAGCTCTTCATAATCTTCCGCTATCAGCTGTTATCATCGCCAGGGCTCTGGTAAATATTTTCACCCTTTGGGCTGCTGGGGCTGTTTAAAAGACAAAGCCTTCTCTTGCTCATAGAAACTGAAAACTAGTGCATTGATGTCCTGAGGCCTGCCTGGATAATACAGGACTATGGCATTGGAACTAGTGCATGTTTTCTTTCTAGCCTGGCTTCAAAGTGGACATTCTGAAAAATGCTCAGGATAGAAAGAAAAAATAATAACATTAACTTTCATACCCTGAGGCTTTCCTCCTGAACTCAGATGTGTTTGTCTTAGGAGATGTCCTTTCAGGTTTTCCTTAGAATTCTTCCATATCCTGTGACATCCAGTTTGTCATTTTTTGGTTTGATTTTCTCTCCTGTGTCCAACGTTCATTGATTATATCAAAATTTCAGAGATATTGCCTATCACTAAAGGAAAAAGTGAAGGCAAATTA